GACTCATGTATAGAAGACAAGCTTTGACCACATTGTAAAACTAAACAAAGGAGTGCATTGTTCTCGCTTACATCTAGAGTCTCAAATACCTAGTCTTCCTTCGCCTCAGACGTAGCCCCTCCATCATGGCCAACATTGAAGATCACTTCGAAGAAGTCCCTCAGTATGAAGCGGATCAGACCAGAAAGACCAGAAAGCGAGCGCTCGAATGTGGCGAAGACAGTAATCGCGATAACAGCGAAAGATGTGCAGCTAAACAGGGCAGCAAAGGCGTCACACAGAACATGCGAACAAAGAAAAGAAGAACGACCGGAGAATCGCCTCCAGATATATATCAAAGCCGGAGAAAATTTTCTTCGTCGTTACAAAAAGGTATAAAAGACGTCGGAAGTGTAAACATTCCAATGGCTAACAACGATACAGAAACGCATGATAATTCTACTCGAGGTTCACCTCTGGAAGGCCCAGAAAGTGCGATCATGGAGAGCATGGCAGACATCGAGCAGCTGTGCACCAACGAAGCTGCCGAGATGTTCATCTTGAAGAGGGCTAAGACTGAGCAGGTGGACAGCAGCCCGCCTGTAATGTTGATGAAGGTTCCATACAAGCTGGCAACGATGATCCAAAACCAGATCTCAACCGGCCTCAAATACCGGCGCGAAAAAGACATATCCATACCGAAACTGGACCAGGAATTGAGAATGAGCAGGCTGTCGCAAAAGTCCGTCGAGCATCGTTTGCAAGGATTGCCTAAGCTCAGTGGAGGCCGAACGCCGACTCCGCATGAAAGTCCTACGGCTGAGCGCTTGCACCGAGAAGCGCATGAGATAAATCAAAAGATGGAAAGGATTGAGCAGAAAAAGAAAACTCTATTGCGGGACATCGAACTTGCCCGTAAAGCATGGGAAGGTGTTACAATGGTAGTAGAGGAGAATTTGCAGGATGTCTTTGTCCGGTGCGGGCTGTTTGAGGATGATAAGGCGGTGAGTGCTCCTCCCGTCGCGCAGAGGGTTGAAGGGATGAGGGTGGCGAGTAAGCCTGACATCGTGTCACGCTTCGATGAAAATAAGGGTTCTAAGCTTCTGCCTGGCGAGAATGAAGCCACGACGATAGCAGCAAACGTGGAAGAGTTGAGCGTTGGTCAGGCCATTGCTATCGTGAGAGAGGCCAAAGCTCGGAGAGAGAAGCACGAGGCTCAAAGACAACACGACGAACATCGTAACACTTTCCGACGAGGACTTCTCGCGGCACGCGTTGCTGCTGCTGCCGACCGACCGGATGCACCCGACCGCCTCATAGAGGAAGAGTTCAGCCGCGACTATGTGCGCGCCGGAAGCAAGCTTGCTGAAGCGGTGACACGCGCAGAAGCGGCCCATGAAGCTCAGTTGGTAGCTGCAGCAGAAGCAGGAGTCTCCATCATAGGCTCGGACGATGACAGGGAACCAAACTTCCCATACGATCTTGAGGAATACGCAGCAGTCAAGAAGCAGTGTCTTGACCGAGACGCCGTCCAGGAATGGATCAATGCCATTGACGCGAGCTCCAGACCTAACCTGCGGCCTTCAGGGTACCTACTGCACATGGCAGAGAAGTGGAAACGGGCAGCAGAGGGAGATGACGACGTCTCGAGCTCAGGAGAGGATATCATGCCGAATGCCGGCGTTGAGCCCTGTAGAGAGACACCACCAACGCAAGACTCTGTGCTGAAGCTGGCATCGAAAAGTAAGTCCTGGCACACGGAGCCGTACTGGAGCTTCAGCGACTGCGCGGAGGGAAAGAAACGGCGGCGGATCGACGACTGGACACGCAGGATACAACAACCCGTTGGATAAGAATCACTATGCTGTTAGTAATGAATATTCGAATGTATGCACGTTTCACCGAGTTCCACGTGTGCGAAGATGGTGGTGGTGCGGATGAGCGCGATGTGTGCAATTTCGATCACGTCATGAACAAGCGCGTCTGATCCCAAAACGGTTAGCGGCTTGGCACATCGCTCAGAGGGAAAGGAGTCCCAAACTTCCCTATCTTACGAGCGTATTTACACCATACCTTGCGCTTCGTCCGAGAACTGATTAATCTCGAAACTATTTTCACATGGACTACAGCTGTTATCATGCTACCTTTCTACGTAACTCATTCGTATACCCCTCGGTCGAATCGCAATTCCGGGACGTCCGCAAGATGAATAGCGACACGCCAAGGCATTCAAATGCATGAAACCGGACGCTCTCAGCTTGCGCATCCCCAAATATCTTCTCCGAGTCCAGACCATCATATCGAGAGACCATATCAGGCCTTCGTGGCACCGTTGCAATCGTGGATTGGGTCTTGACCAGCTACCTGCGTGATAGCTTCTAACGGGTCAGTGCTGGTGTCTCTCTTGCGGTACAGCTGTCTAGAGACATGACCAGTAAGATACCCATCGAAATCGCGCATACACAGTGACGCGACGATCGCAAGCACACCAATAGCGACAGCGAAGTAGTATACGTAAGCGTACGATCTGGAGTAAGCAACGCTGATAGCTATGTTGGTGGTGCGGAGCAGCTCCGGTGTCATACCATCGATTTCGAGAAGAGCTGTCTGGTCGGAGGTTGCGGCAGCTGCCATTAGCGCACTCAAGGAGCTTTCCGGCAGTCCATCCGCTAAAACGCGTTGCGGTACTATCGATGCGAGGTAACCTGGCACTTTGTTCGTATACACTGCGATGAATGCGGCCGTAAAGATGGAACCGAAGATAGTGCGAGACGCCGAAATCACAGCTATCGCAAGTCAGCAATGCCACATTCACGAGGTTGTAAACGGAGGACTTACAGAACGCAACACCGAGGTCTTGGTCCGAGACTACATACTGTACGACAATCGCTGCGATGACCTCGCCCCACCCAATAGTCCAACCCGCCAGAAACGAAAAGGCAATCGCACGAGCTTTGTTTTCCACCGTGATGCTGGCCATAGCACCAAGAAAAGCGGTCATCCAGATCGAAGACACCAAGATCTGGTATCTGATGTGGCCAATCCACGACATAAGAGGACCGAGAATGACAATCCCACCCCAAAGACCGAATGCAGCTGTTGTTGAAAGCCATGCGGTCTCCTCCCAGGAACTAACAGTGGAACCAAAGATGTAGACAACCTGTTGTGGCCACATGACAAAAAGCGCGATATTGATGACACCGTACGTCGCTGAAATGACTTCCAGACAGGTAAACCCACGTATGTCGCGGAAGAAACGCATCGGAACAATGGGTTGAACTGGCGGTAGGAAGACCTCGTAGAAGATGAACGCGATAATGGCCATTGCGCCGGAGAGCAAAAGCCCGAGAATCCTTGGTGACGACCATGGCTGTGCCGGCCCGCCCCACGATATGCCAAGCAGGAAAAGAGCCAGACCTGCTACCAGAAGGATTACCCCTATCCAGTCGACCTTCTTGAGCTCGCCGAGCTTGCTGGACTTCTTGCCGTGAAGCTGGGTATAGGAAGGTGGGTGGTAGAAGAAGAACCACAAGACGGCGCCGGGAACTGATAATCGTCAGTACGTCAAAATGCTGTAAGATATGCCGACTCACCCATCATCATGATGTATATGTAGAAGATCCATCGCCAATCAGCTACCTGTACTAATCGCAGACCAATGTATGCCCCAAAGCCGGTCGCAATCACATTCGGCACAACGACTAAAGCAGTACCGACATATTTGTACCTGTTACTCACGAGCTCACCCGCCAAGAGTGGATAGGCTGCTGGCACTCCGGATGCGATGCCCATGATAACTTCGGCTCCGATCAATGCCTCGATAGACTGCGCTGTTGCCGCGACGATACCACCAATGATCGCAAGCACGCATGAACCCAAAGCAAAGTTCCGTCGCCCAAAGCGATCGCTGAGGCGACCAAAGAGCAGAAGCGAGATAGGCTGCGACACAGTCCATACTGTACTGACGAGGGCAACGTTGGCGCTTGGCCCGATGTCTGCGTTGACGGAAGATATAGCAGCAGCTAAGGCTTGGAACTGAAAATACGTCGCAAGTACGACGATTCCAGTTCCAGAGAACGAGCCCACGATCCTTGCACTGAAGAAGTAACCGTTTTGTAGCTTGGAGACATCAGTCGAAAGGGCCTCGGATCGTAGTCGGTCCGCTTCTTCAGGATTGGGGGAAATGGGAGATGTGCCGGGTCCTGGAATGTGCTTCTCGGACAAGGTGTCTGGTGGAGTACTGTTGCTGTCAATGTGAGACATCTTGTTCAACGAGGATACTGCCTTGGGGTGAAAGAAGAAGGCGTGGGATGTTAAGATGGAAATGAAAATGACTGTCAGTGTATCTAGGACCAAGAGCTGTACGAAAACAGGTTAGTGTCCAGATCAGCATAGCTATGGGCTTGCCTTAGACAGCCATAGCTTCTCCTCTCGCACAGTCGATATCTTGATCGCCAAAAGTCCTAGACAGCGGGATGCAGTAGCGCATGCAGCATCCTTCCAGGAACATTGACCCGCAAGCGCAGTGGTCTTAGCATGTAAGCCCATTTCAAGGGACTTCCGTTCTCGGCGAAGGAGATTGTACATGGAAGTTGTCCACAAGAATGGCTTCGCCTCTTACAAGCTTTGAGCTTGTGCTCAACGCTCGGACCGGTAACTGTAGCATCTGTCGAGTAATGGGCAAAACATGTAAGGGCTTTCACATATGTTCTAAGCCAGGGTATACTGCATGTCGTTTCGTGACTGTTGGGATATTGATACTAGCCGCTGGCGTAGCTAATCAGCCATGCATCAGCGACAGGGGTCTGTTGTGCGCCGATCCATGAGCTCTAGATCCAAGTGCTATTGATCTACAAGTTTGAGAGACTGGCGAAGGACGCATGAATCCATCGATGAGAGGTAGCTATTCTTTATATGCTATCGTGTATGATCATGTGCTACGGCTCACCATGCATCGGACGCTCAATCATCCGCTCTAAATTTTCTCTGCCTGATTGCATGTGTCCAGCCGCTAGTCTTGTTCAATGGCCTTTCGTTTTCTCATAGCTGACCTCATACTCATGGTCTATCTGTATGTTATGCGGCCCGTGTCGGCTCATAATGTTGCGCGTAGACCTATCATCGTCACCTAGAGAAGAGGTACCATCCAGATCTTCTCCAACACCAACAGCTGCTTTAGTTCCTGTTCGCCCGCTCAGTCTCTTCGACAAAGTTGTCCTCTTTTTACTGCCGATACCCTCCTCAAGCTCCATGTATGCATCACCAGACGCCTGATCGCCGGTACGCTTCTTGCTGCTGCGCAATGTCGAGCCAAGGTCGAGCATCTTCTCGAGAAGGGGACGCAAGGCCGAAAGGTTTGCAAGAACAACGCCAAGCCCAAGCTCAGCATGCGCCCATGCAGCTACGGGCATAGCGTAGTAGAGGAAGTCTGTTGTCGCGCTGAGGTTGAGTGTTACGGTGAGGCGAACGATGCCTGCTGTTGATGCGAATATGCCGAGGCCGAGGAGGGCGATGATGGATATCTTGACGCGGAGATCGATCTGGACGTTCCAAAGGAGTGGAATGGGACTATACCACGATCAGTCAAGACACAAGCAAATACTCCGGTAGAACTCACATGATTGCGCAAAACCAATCCGAGAAGATTGAAACCGCAGAGAGCGCAAAGCTGAATCCAGTGATGTTGCTTTGCGCCTTGCAGATGCCGCCCTCTACAGCCTTCCAGTTCATCGCAATTGGTGTGCAATGAAAGAACTCGTATATAGTCGTCGAGGCCATGACACACGCGACCGCCGCCATAATCGCATATATTGACCACTCGTATGCCTTTTTCCCATTGGCAATGCGAAGTAAGGTGAAGCAAATGGCCCATTTGACGGGGATGGCGGCAAGGCAGAACATGGTTTGCATGATGAACCTGTACGAAGTCAATTACTGTCGAGCTTGCAGTCTGTGACATGACAGAACTGACCACCACTGTATATAGTGAGCATGATTAACCTTTTAGATACGCTGCGTGACTTACAAACATAGCTGTCTGCTTCTCGTTGACTGTAAGTTCGTCGTCCCTCTTTCCACCTCCCGTGAAGGCGATTCCAAGCATTCCTATCGTTGAGATGATGAAAAGTGGCTGTTCTTGATAAGTAAATGTGATATTGGAAGAATTTGACATGTTCGTACAATTGCAGCTACCATAGACCAGTCATCCGGACCCCATGCTTTTCTAGAAAGTCGGACATGAAAGCGAAGCGCCCAAGTGATGACATCGAAAGGAAGCAAAACAAGGACGGCCAATGCCAGAGAGGGGGAGGTAGGACCCGGCATAATGCTCGATGAAGTCTCCTCTCCTTCCCAATGACTACTTTATGTGCTGACAGTAGGAAAGCACCCGTGCTTCGTGAGTGTCCCCTTTCATGGATCCCTTGACGAGAGATGTCCAGGAAGATGAACAATCCTGCTACCATCTTGAGCTTCACGCACATCCTCTTCGGAACCTGAGACAAGATCTTGCCTCTCAATGTTGGTAATCCCTCATGCTGAGGCAATGATCCTGCCAAGGTTGCATCCTCCTCCCAAAGTAGCGCCTTGCAGCGGTATCCAAGTCTAACGACAAGGCCTGATGTAAATGTGACAAGGTCGAGCAGTTAGTGCTACCAATGAACCGCGCTTTGCGCATGTGACATGCGAGGATGCGGCATGGTGATGATATTTCCGAGTCCATGCGCCGCTTTCGACCCCTCGTCGCTTGCCGCGCCCGCCCAAGATGCGGCATGTGCTACGGGAGGGCAACGAACCGAGAGCGTCTACCATGGCAACACGAGTGAGTAGATGAGAAGAGGGTAGGAAAGGCAGTAGCTGGTCAATAATGGGAGGGAAGCTTGAGAGGGGAGCCTGACGCACAGATACCCGCCTCGGGCGGGGAAGGCGGAAGGACGCCCAAATGGGCTGTGGCGCGGTATCCTTGGAATTCGCCCGCTGCCGGCACATTGCATGCCATGCAGGCACAACTACAACCGGTATGGAGCCACAGTATATGCGAGAGCTCTCATGTTCTAGACAGACTTCAATCTTGAGGGCTAACGAGAAGTCCAGACGTTTCCAGAGGCAGTATCTGCGGGCTATCTGAAGGACCACCTGATTGGACGTGCGACCCGATGCACAGCAAATTCTGCAAGACTCATTGTGCCGTTAAGCCACCATCAACGTTCAACACCTGTCCAGTTACCCACTGCGCATCATCGCTAGCGAGATAAACCGCAGCTCTCGCATGGTCGTGGGGGTGACCAAATTTACCCCGAGGTATAGAGGCTTTGACCGCGTCTGCTGCAGATGACAGGGCCCCACCAAGCGCATCCTCGAGCATTGCAGTTTGCGAAACTGGCGAAAGATATTAGAGTGGCCCATGCGATACTGGAAAGGGCGACTTACATCCAGGAGCAATGCAATTGGCGACTATGCCTTCTTTCGCAACGTCCAGCGCAATGGTTCGCGTCATCGAAGCCACAGCACCCTTGGACGCCGTATACCCAGCTGGAACAAGTGAGCCCAACGCCAAAAGCAAAATCATCGTATGTTCTCGTGTGGAATAACTTACTGAGGCCCTGCATACCGATGTTGGATACCATCGAAGCGAGATTTACGATCCAACCGCGCATACCATTGGGCTGCGGCGCTTGTGCCTTGAACTGACGAACGGCATATTTGCAGCCAAGGAAGACTCCTCGTGTGTTGATGCGCATGTGGGCGTCAAACATATCTTCATCGACTTGATCGATGGGTTGTGGGTTGCTGGCCTCTGTGCAGATGCCTGCGTTGTTGACCACTCTTTTAGGGCCACGATATCAGTTACTTCTCCTATTTGATTGTAACCATGATAGCTGGACGGATACTTACATATCAAGTCGACCATATACCTCCACTGCTCGCGCAACGAGTACATTCCAGCTGGTGGCTACACTGACATCGGTCTCAACGAAAACGGCTCGTCCGCCTTTGCTGATGATCCATTCGTGTGTAGCAGTGTCTTCGCTCTTTCCAACAGGTCTAAGATCAGCGCATACGAGCAAGGCTCCCTCAACGAAGAACTGATGACAGATCTCTCGCCCAATACCTTGGGACGAGCCCGTCACTATCGCGACTCGGTTTTGCAGCCTCATGATGGATGCTTCGATGGGAGGACCAGCCAAAATGAAATGATATACAAGTTTGACCAGAGGGGCTGTAAGGACGTGAAAGCTTGCTCAGATCGCAAGAGACCTAGCAGCCCGCAGTTCGAGAACCAAAGTATCAAGAAGGTGAGGCGGGCCAGTGACATGTATCCCTCTTTCTCCGCCGATCTAGCCAAGCCTATCCCCACCCGCGGGACATACCCATGTTCTTCCGCCTACGCGAAGGATCACTGTCACATGCAGCACCCGGGATGGAGTATTCGCCAAACTATTGGTGTTTATGCAAGATTTGTTGGCATATACGCGGGCATAAAAGTATCAAGTAGGTTACGTTCGACTAAAGTGGGCAACTAGGCGGCGACAGTACTATCTCAACCTAGCACCAACATCGACCATGACGAGACCTTTGGAGAACAAGTTAGCAATCATCACTGGTGCATCGCGCGGTATGTATGTCCCTCCTTTCGTGACCCCAATGAAGAGAATATGCTGATCGACCTTCAAAAGGCCTTGGTGCTGCTTTGGCACGCCATCTGGCTTCCAAGGGGGCAAACGTCGTCATCAACTACACTTCGGAATCGTCCACAGAAAATGCAAGCGCTCTAGCTAAAGAGCTGGAAGCTAATCACTCTATCAAGACATTAGTAGCAAAGGTTGATATCACCACACCCGACGGGCCGGACCAACTCATCGATGCGGCGAGATCGGCTTTCAGCGACAACAACAAGTTCCAGATCGACATACTTATAAACAATGCGGCAGTCGTCAACCCAGCGCCGATGGGCTCAGTCGCACTATCCGACTTCGAAGCCACCTTCGACCTAAATGCGCGCGCTCCACTATTCGTATTACAAGCTGCGCTACCATATCTCCCGAACGACAGATCCGGTCGTGTGATCAACGTCTCCAGTATAACAACCTCGATGGGTTTCTGGTGGCAGTCTTGCTACGCTGGCACTAAAGGCGCTCTTGAAGCAATGACAAGGGTCTGGGCTCGCGAACTCGCCGAACGCTGCACGGTCAACGCCATCAATCCAGGTGCGATAGCTACGGGCATGTATACGAGCCTCCCGAAGGAGATGTTGGAGAGGGCCTGGTCGCTAAACTATATGGCACCGTTAGCTACGACAAGAGAAGGCATCGATTCGGAGGAGACGATTGCGGCGGCAAAGGATCTGGGTGGGAGACCGGCGTACCTAGAGGAGGTAGCGGGGGTTGTTGGCTTACTGTGCATGGCTGAAGCTGGGTGGATTACCGGTCAGGTTATTGGGACTAACGGCGGTGGTGTCATGACGAAGGGGTAACATGCGATGGCCACAGTGAAGATACGCAAGTTCGTCAGCGGCTATATGACTGTTTAGAAAGTATAGTGGATTGATCGAAAGCACTGCATGGGCTGTCGAACTTTAAGTACACGTTTTGTGTATGACAAGTACTTGATTTCACTATCTTATAGCTCTACACACTTTGTTGTTTCGCTGAAAATCGATGAGATGCTCGAGAAGTAATCTCCAACGTGGCGTAGATGAAGCCCATGTTTTCAAGATGCATCTGCAATGCAGCCAATGCAAGACCGCTGTTGAGAAAGCTGAGTGCGCCGACGTTGATCAAGAAAGGCTCTGGCATTCCAAACATCGATCTGAACCTTGGTGAACTTGCGGGATAGAATCGAGCAAAGTTGCACGTCCTCACCCTGGCCCTGGAATTGGGACTGATCAGGGAGGAGATTTATGAGCTCAATGAAAAGCTCTCCATAGCCCTTCTCCTGGAGTAATGCCACTTCCCATTCCGCCTCGGCATCATTCCGCTTGCGCCTTAGACTGTTTCGCTCGGCAGTAGATGCCCACCAATTAGCATGAATATCGTCATACTCCTCCTCTGCCTGATAAAGTAGGCTCTCGGTCTGGACTTTGGTGATTTCTGCAGATTTCAAGTATTCATAAGACGCGTCTCTGGCTTTCTTCATGATGAGAGACGGTGAGACTGCGTGCCCGCGATTGGGTATAGTTGAGGAGAAGTCGAAAAGCTCACTGATATCTAGACGTGCGTCGTTGGCGGTCGCAGGACTACCGGGAGGAGGTACTAGTCGGCGAATCTCATTCTTGATCCACAGTATTGCTGTTCGATACTCTGGCGTAAGCTGGTTGGGGATCGATGCTCGCGTAAAATCGAGGTCGTATACTGATTCTACAGTCTCTGACAAGCGGCAACTGCTTTTCCTAACTGCCAACAATCGCGCAGTAGATTCCTCAGTAAGATGACCACAGAGTGTACCCATATGCTCGAAATCTGGGCTGTGAACACGCAGTGGCTGCACTAATGACCATCCTAATAGCCGCTGTTTTCCTTCATCATTATGATAGTTAACTCTGAAAGGTTCTCCAATAGAGCGGAAGAGGTGGTGATCCTCGGGAAGGGACGCGTAATCGAAACTTTCGCTGGCGTCCATAACAACGTGACCACGCTCCACAAGTTCACGGAGTGATAGTCCGTCGAAGTATTGACGGCCTGGATGACACATCTCCGCAACTGAGCAAAACTCCGAAAATATATCGAGAACAATGACAGGTCGCCAACCTGCCAGCCGCAAGCCCCCAAGTGTGATGTCCCGATTTCCGCCCACGCCATTGGGGCTTAGGTCAGCATCTGGATTGTTGATAAAAGTCCAAAACACTTGACCGACCTGGTATCTGTCGCGAAGGCGCTGTCGTACTTCATGTTCATGGTCTGTTTGCTCGACCATCGCATCAGCCTCCACGATGTTGTCGTTGGGACTGAGGTGCTGCGTTGTCGCTTTCCCGCCATCTTCGTCTGTATCATGATCTGGATCAGCGCGAGGAGAGTTGATGGTGATTTTCTGCGAAGGATCGGGGTCTGAAGTGGCGGGTATCTCGTCATGATCACGTGATGCTGGCCGGTGAGTGGTAGGATCACCTGGAAGATTAGTTCTTCTATCTCCGACCGTTTACTAGACTGTCTTACCCTTGTCGATTTCGGACTGGATTGTCATAGTGGAGCGCTAACAGAGAGTAGTTATCGGTCTAGGTTGCACGTCTTCGAGAAGCGACTTTGCTGCGGCAGTGGAGTAAAAGTTGCAGTCGCGAGTATAATGAGCGGCCGAATGATAGTGGCGGGCTGATGTCCCATTTTAAGCTCCTCCACTGATTCCTAGAATCGCGTTTGCAGGGGCAAAGCTTGCGTAGACGCAGGGCAGACTGTTATACCCAGGTGGAAGCGCAAGTCTCGTGAACCTTGCTAGACGAATTCGGATAAACCAAGAGTAACCTAGCTCTAACTGAGATGAGGTTAGTATTCACTATGACTTCTGTACTGGGGGTAGTGAAGAGCAACGTCGCTGAACTGGCGCGACCATAATGAAATAGTAGAGTATATAGAGGCCGACCGAGTCGAGGATATTGGCCCCTGTATCTGCGCCGTGTTGAATGATCTTTTTCAACATGCTAGCGTAGGAAACAAAGCTCTTCAGCCTTTGATCGTCTTTGACACCCAGTTGACATACGGCAGGAGAAGTAGGCGCTGAATAAAGATGAACATGAACACGTATTCAGTTACTAACTTTGCATGTATTGCAGCATAAATCAAGCATGCCACGAGCTTACATATTCATGTCAATCCGTATTAATCCACACACCGAAAGTCTCAACGACCAGTCCGCGTTAATTGCCCTGTTGGCCCTAGACAAGGCGTACGTGAAAGCAAGAATCCCGAACAGTCAGACGCACTCAACACAAGGAGAAATGGCCACTCCTATCCGATCATTGCTGGTTGGGAAAACACCAGTCTTCCGTTGAGATGATAGCGGGTAAGGCTTCAAACAGGGGTTCCAGGGTCCCGAAAGAAGAATACACGGCTGACCAAGACACTGTGCCTTACATTAGAGCAAACACCTTGACTTGTAGACAGCAGGTGATAACAGCGAGCAGATTTTAGTCCCTATCGAGGAACAAAGTGGATTTCGCTTGCAGCTTCTCCATTCCCGTGGTGACATTGTCAAGCTCGGAATAAAGGCGCATAGCTTCAGTGCGCGAGTCCTCGTCGGATAATATCGAGCCCCTCACCTTCTGTTTTAGACGTTTGATACCCCGGAGTACCGTCATAGGACCCTTGCTCTGTGACTCTGCCTCCTTATGGAGTTTTTCGACTTCGTCCAATTTCCGCTTTTTGGAAGGAAGATTGACACCAACCAGGTCAGCGTCATTGGCCATCTCTTCCCATTCTATTCGCACGATGTCTCGTGCAACCTGTAGAGGGATAATTTGCCTAGAGGCAGACTCACAGGCGATGCGGGAGTCTTGCTCGATCGCTTGTATGAGCGCAGAAACTTCCATGGCGGGGCGACGGTCCGGATGAATGCTACTCGTAGCAACGAATTTGGCCACAGTCGGTGCTGTCATCGAGGACAAGGTCTGCACAGTACCCGTTACGTCATTGGAGGCTGTATCGCCTATCGAGACGAATTGATCTCGGACCCTTGTTGCTGTGATGTCGCGCCGGTCGGGCGGAGGCGGATTATTTGCAGGGTCTGTTGCCTCACGCGCTTTGCGCTTAAGCATTGCTAGCAACCCCATGAGCTCATCGTATTCTCTGCGCTTAGACTCGGTTGATGCACCTTGTGGTCTACGGTATATCTTTTGAGTCGGCAGGTAACCACGGAGTGGCCCTGTGGTCCGATTCAGCAGCTCAGTCCGGAGCTGTTTCGCTAGTTTAATTGTAGCAAGAAGTCTTGCCATATCCTTAGTTGCGAGCCTGCCTTTAAGAACCAGGAGATCGGTGTACCTGCAAGGATGTTGACAATCAGGCTGAACAATAGAACACTGATCGAATGGTTTACCACGACCAACATTCTCCGCAACTCTTACAGGGTCATATATCAGGCGATAGAGCTCGTGGTCTTCCGAGAGAGTTGCAAGATCAAATGGAGCAGCGTCGGATGGTAGAACTCCCATGCGCTCTATGAGGCCCATGAGCGAAAGTCCGTCCAGAATTCTATTGTTGCGACGGCCCAATTCGGCGACATTACAGTATTCCTCGAACTTTTCAACAACTATACCTGGCCGCGATTTTATGACGAAGATTCCGTAGTTTGTATTCACGAGATGGTCTTCAGAACGCTCGTGAACGCCTTGATCAGTAGTCGGTTCGGCTACTATCATATCAACAAGGTCGCCTACGTTGAAGCTGCTGGAATGCACTGGCTTTGCAATCTGTTCCATGAAGTCGACAATGATCTTCAAGCCTCGAATTGGAGCTTCTGGCTCCATATCGCGGATACGCCAGGGGAACGTAGGGTCAGCGAAAGCCTCTTCTATGGCATCGATAAGTCGTTGTTCAACACGCCCTATTGTTGGTCTTGATGTCGGCGGATTTGCTCGAACACCAACGGCTAAGGGCGTAGTTGAAGAAATGGGGAGGTGAACATGATCGCCTTCGTTCACGTGCGGTGGTATAGGTTGACCGGTCTGCGCGGAGGTGGCGGGCGCAATGGGGGGCGCTGTTCCAGGATGAAGTTCCGAAAGTTCAACGGGTACTGATATAGTGCCTACAAAACATTTGTTAGCATCATTTACCGGAGTAACCATGCGCTAGAGAACTCGACAACACCGTCATCTCATACAAAGTGAAAATCGAACTGGTGAACTGGTGTCTACATTCAAAGTAAAAACCGGACTTGACAACGGCCCCAAAGTAATGTGGACTGCTGGGTGACGGTTGTTCGATTCTTCCCTTTTGTAAGATGCCGTGTGAGAAGCAGATCTAGATACAAATCGTGCACTAGGGGGGGTTCGACGACGAGGAGAGACAGTCACTAACCTGGGACTTCGGAGCTGGCGTTGGAGTTACCGATAGAACTATTGTCCTCGCCATGGCTGAAGCTGACGTTGGTAATCTTTGCGTCATGCGAACCTTCGAGATTGACGGCGACGTTGTTGACGGTCGAAGTCTCAGACAGTTTCGAGGCACTTGGAGGCTGCGACTCCTGTGTACGCGAACGGGGAGTCGACAAGCCGGAATCTCGACCTACATGAGCAGTACGTTGGACCGCGTCATCTACGAAACATCAGTAAGCTGCATTGAGAGATAATGAACTGAGTGGGGTTTACCGTAGGTCTCGCGATCAGCTGGCGCAGCCATTATTCGAGCGTCTCTAAACCTTCGTAGTGGGGCAGTTCCGCAGGTACTGAATGGGTTGCGTTGGAAGGCGAACGTGGGAAATGCGTAGGGTAGAAGAGCGTGTGAGTGATTAGAGCAGGGGGCGAGCGGTATTCTCTCATGTTATAGTTGCGGTTTCTAGGCACGAGAAGCGCAGAGCTTACCATTTATGGGAGCGGATCGTGGGCAACGTGATTTGGTCTATGCACTCGCGAAGAGAAAGAGTTCCTTCACTCGAGGATTCGTTTCTCGTGAATCACGTGCAAGGAGATGCAAAGTCGTATGTTGAGTAGAATTGGAAGGAGGCGCAATATTCGAAATCGATCTCCAACACAGCTTCAGATTCGCTGTCGCTATTGAGCGCACATCAGATTTCGTCCTCCAAATCAGCACGATTGTACAGCTCAATAGCCAATCGTTACTCGTGACCTCCATGGTTCTTGAGGTCATAATGCGTGGAATCACGTACAGGACTGAGTGCACTGCCTCGCTAGCAGCTGCAGTAACACGCACTTATGATCTTCTTTCCTGGATTTACAAGAAGCAGATTTTGAGATTGGCCATCAGCTTTGACTTGCTTTGTACGCCCATTCTTCTCGACATACGGACAAAGAGCACGTTTGACGCGCTTGGGCCATTGACGGATCCTGGAATCGCGCACGTTTACAGGACATACTACAAAGACAAAGGCCGTCATCGGAACCAAATCTCACAGTATGGACTGTCAAAGCCATGAAAACCACTCGAATGCTGCTGGAGGTGATGGTATTTCCAAGCTCAAGCCCGTGCGACAGCAGGATATGTCCCACACAAGCGCTGATTCAGAGCCCGATGGTACTCCTCCCCAAAGACAGAGCCTGCGGGCGGCCATTGGAAGTTCTGGTACAGATCGTCTTCTTGGCGACAAGCGACAAAAACTGACCGACGACCCCAGTCGCACGAGTGATAGCGTTGAACTCGTTATCAACAACATCTGCTCAAGCCCTGTAGCCCTAGGAAACGCGAGGGAAAGTCACAGAAGAACGGTGTCCGGTGAGATCAAAGATCGGTCGACAACGGGAACAAACCAAGGTGATAAATCAGCGCCTGCGCCACTGCCTGAATCGAATTCCGGCGTTTTGGGTCTGCCATACGACGAAGGACGACTTAGCCCAACGCTCAAGGAACAAGAGCATTCGTGCGTGCCACATCCATCTGATCCCGAACCCGCGGTCATAACTGAAAGATATACCGAGCCGATGATGGGAGAAATTCCGCAGAGAGAGCTCAGGAAGAGCGGCAAAACGCAAAACAAGGAAAATTACCCGGCATCGATGTGGGTCGGTGGAGAAGACGGTGACCACAGATATACTCGTGGACCGGCTCGCATGGTAAAGGTTACGAGTGCTGATGGAGAGGGAGGTACTTTTGCATTACAGCTCTCACACGAGCTCTCTGAGAAACTCAAAAAGCAAATCGAGGCTGGCCGCAAGTTTCGACATGCACGGGAGGCGGTCGGGCGGCGATTAGTCCACTTACTTGCGGAAGACGCTCGCCTAATTGCAGAACATTCGCACGCGAAGAGAGAAGCTGATAGTTATCTCGATGGTTTAGGAGAAAGGGTGCTGACACCAGAGGAAGAATCCAAGGCCACTGTTATGGTGAAGCATTGCAACGACATAGCACACAAGCATGCAGCCACGAAAAAAGAACGGGAGCAATTACCACGATATCTCCAGGAGATACAAAACACCTGGGTGAAACTCGTGGAAGAGGTGAATGCTATCCAAGAAGATGTTTTCGTGAAAACAAAGCTCGTTCCCGCGACCACAGAGCTGGAGCGTCTTCCTTGGGAGCAGAGTCAGGACGGCGGAACGGATGTTGTCGCCCCAAATTCCGTGCCGCGGGTGCAAGAACTGGAGCTGGCCAATATGAAGCAATCTGTTGAGGCTACGCGCCCAGGTCTTGCCATGCGCAATAGATTCACCAAAGCCGCGTTGGAAGTAGCCCGCGAGAAGCACGACAAATACCGGCTTGGATACGAGAAAGAGCTTCAAGAGTATATCGCCAAGCAGGTCAATCGTCCAAATGTTGACTTTCGCATCGAGTTCAGTCGGAAGTGGCTTGAGGGCTGGCACGACGTCATTGTAACACTTGAGGAGGCCGAGAACGCTGCACAGGATGCGTTTGACAGAGCAAGAGCTGCAAATGTTACCGTGGCAGACAGTAGGGACGATGGAGTGCCAACCATTGCATACGACATAGAGTGGTGGGACAAGACGTCGCTGAAGCAGCTCGATCGCACTCGTATCCAAAGGTGGCAAAACGAAGTTGTTGTTGGTGTCTTGGGACCAACACACCCTGCTGGAAGCGATGAAGTAGAGCTCGAACAGCTGAGCAAAGTTGAACATCTTAACAAGCAGACGGAAGAGCCTGCGATCGATAATTCGGGTGGCGCTCCTGTGAACCCCTCAGAAAGGCAGCCAGCCGCTGGGTCTGAAGGTGTGTCGGCATTACCACCTCTCGGCTTCTCAAAAATCACAGCCACAACTTTCCAAAAAATAGAACAACTGCTCGCTGAAGTAGCAGGGGCTCTGGATCGCGCCAGTGAGCTGACCAGTCTGCAAGCACAAAAGCCCGACCTAGCAAGCGCGGCTACTGGGGCAGAAGCTGATGAAGTCAACAAGCGAACTTCAGCGGTACTTGCAAGCTCTAGTCCCCGTGAAGCCTTTGCGGACGTTGGCGCTGAGAGTCGTATGGCAGAGGTGATAGACAAACCGCGACAGGTGGTTTCGCAAGGTAACCCTGGTACGCAGAACACTGCCCAGAATGTCGAAGAGCCGCAGACGAGCAAGGGAAGGACGGAACAGGCTATCGTTTCGGAGCCTACGAAGAGGCAAGATGGCGAGGAGATGGAATCGCAGTGTGACACAGACCTGAAGGGATACATGGAGAAGTATAACATCCAGCCGCCTCCGGTCTCCCGAAAGAGGGATAGAGACAATTCGCTCGACCAGCGGGACGCCATCATAACCGCTAGCGAGCGTGCTTACGGAAGCAGACGAAGACGCATCGACAAGTGGGGTAAATACATCCGCGGTGGTGATTGTTGAGCATCGTATTGTCGACCCGAACGCCCCGATCGGGAGCCAGGATGCTCGGCACGATTGTGAACTTGTTGTAGTGTGAGGCCACCGCAGTATACCGTCTTTGCTGCTTGCCCGAGTGGCCCCAGATGGAAGGGCTTGTAGCGAACGAGAGATGGAGAGGGTGAAGCGATGGAAGTATGGGAGTACGAAGAACCGCTGGCATTAAATGGCGCCGAGCGAGGAGACGCGGAACTGACCAACGGTCGAGGGCGTCATATCACAGCGACACATGGTCATTTGGTGTAGTATCGGAACGTATAGGTGACGTCGATATCGATCGCGAGCGTTCGGTACAATCTTGGACCTGTCATGCGCGGAAACCCGCTTTGGCCAGCTTGGAATTCGGTAGGATTGGAGAAATGAACGCATCGGGTGAACATCTGGGGAACGAGTCGGGATCGATCGATGCCGATGCCATGATGGGTCGTATACGAGGAAGCTGTTTGCTTGGTTCCAAAGACGCCTTATAGCGTACGGCACATAGGTCATCTAATTCTTCATTAGCAAAACAGTGTAAGAAACAGCAACAATGTGCAGGTCTCTTTACATGGTAAGCCGTGATGAACAAGCATTTCCAAGGCGACTCTTGCATTAGGGGCTGCGGTGGGCACGAGCGATGCTCGTAGCGCTGTCCATACTTACGTACAACATACGGAGATGTAAGTGTATACCTTCCATATGGTATGTGGTTGCTCGGAGATGGACTGCGACCAAAGGTGAACGTAATAGAGGCTTGACGCGTAGAAGTTCACATCGTCAACCCTTCGGCCTCGGGAACGTGGCCCAAGCGTCGATGCTTGGCTTCAAACGGCAAAGCTCCGGAGTTCCGGAGTTCCGGCGCGTCATCGCATTTTGAGGACAGCGCGGTCTTCAATCTACAGTATGACGCGTCGCGTCGCCATCCTTTGTTCGTGCTTCATCTCAGTGCAACGCCTCCATTCAAAACCGCTTTGTTGCCTCGGTAAATGAGGACAATACAAAACTGAGAAGAACTAGTTTTACGTATTTGACATTCGGACGACCCAAGAGATCCGTCGCGCAATCCGACGCGTATCTTATGTATCTACTCGTTTTTGATGACACGGGCACATGCCAAGTCCTTTACGACGTATTGGCGGTAGTGAGCTCATCCCCCTCTTCCTCCTCCTCCTCTTCCTCCCCGGCCTCTACCCATCTGTGTACCATGTCCCCAAGTGCCAGGCCTGCGCCACGTCCTTGTTCCCTATCATCCGGCGGATCATACCGGCGATCGCTTCTACGATCCTCACTGTCCGCATAGTATCTGTTAAGAGGCATAGGGTCCGTATCACGGTCAGATCGATGGTTCCGTTCGCCATATCTTGACTCCCGTACCGTGTGACGCTCCCCTCTATCACGGCTGTCTGGCCAGTCCCCTCCTTGCGCACGTATGGTACGCTCGTCCTTATAGGTGCGAGGTCGGTAGCGTGACTGGTGACTGCCTCCATGACGGTCATCGCGCTCACGAAATGGATGAAGCTCTGCACTTGGGGATCTACTGCGCCGACGTGGTTGCGGTGTTGTCCCATGCACAGACACAGAATGCAGCCCTGGGAACATCAACTCCGCCATGCAATAGTTAAGATATGTAAAGCCGTTACATCTCCAACTACATGCTTAACAGACTGAGCAAGCCTAACCGACGTAGGCTTCTTCGCAGATTTGGTGTCAAAGTGGCGTCACTATGCTTACATAGACAAAGAGAATTGAGCGGACAAAGACATCAAGAGCAGTATTGTGTGTTTGTATCGGGCCATGTATCCAGCCCTTGTTGGCTACATGTCTAGAACATGCGACACTGGAGGAAATTCGTCGTGGGTTTTACTTCATCGAGTGGCAGGGTATACATGCGGCATGGAGAACCGTACGTCAGCCGCATCTGAACAGCCTGTTCCAACTGGCGAGCAAATCCACAGCTATGTCGCAAAACATGGCATCATCATCTACAACACCCATCATCATCATTACCATGCTAGCTCAACTACCACCAGCGCAGGAAGATATCAACGCGGAGCGAGCCACCACTCGTACGGAGATGTTGGTACGCGGGGTGGTACGTTTTCGGCAACTATACCAGCTCAGCAAGATCATCAAGCACTCACAAAGAGTCCAGTGCAACATCTCCGAGCACTTCGCAATGATGTTAAGTCTAATTGCTTGCTAACGTATAGCCATGACAGTCTTCGCAATCGCTTGGTCATCTGTAAATAATTACTACGGGTCTCTTGCGCTCTTTCCCGCGAACCAATTCAGGCAGAAAGCCTCATCGGGTCCAAATGAGTCTGACATTCACTCTATGTGTCCGTGCCAACTCGATGGACACTCAGCGTTTCTGGTGCCTAGGCGCTAAATCCTCGCTCGTGGTCTTTATATACAACAAGATTTCTTCTCATTTATCTGGGCACTCAAACTCTGGAAAGTAAGCCCACTGCTCGCCTAAATACTTCGATCGACCCCCAACCGAGAGATGGACCAAAGCGCTTTTCTCAAAGAGATGGACACAGCCGCCCGGCCAGCTGTTTTTGGACGACCTCGAGCTTCATCAAACCCTGTGTTCTCAACATCAACGATCCATGGAACGCACTATATAGATAGGACTAGCGGCAAACGCGTGTACATAGACTTGAACCTCAAGAGATTCTCGAGGCCCAAGGGCGAAGAATGGCACTCCCACATGTACGCCAACGTCAACGCAGACAAGATCGTCTGGCAGGGCACCTACGAGGATATCTATCCCAGCTCGGACGAGGTCTCCTCGGCTGAGGGGTACGCACTTCTCTGCAGCTACAGCTTCATGGACGAAGCAATGTCCACGATCGCTGTCCCTGGATTACCGCCAGCGTTCAAGAGGCCAAACCCTAAAGACTTTCCTCTCAAGATTGCGCCCGACTCTGGCTACCATTTCAGCGACGAGCATGCGGAACGCGCTCCGCAGCAACAATACGAGCCCGCTTTCCAGGCCATCGCAACGATGAACCCTGACATTCGCTTTAACGACGTAGACATCGTGATAAACCGCACCACGATGTTAAATCTGATGAAGTGCGTCAAAAATGCTTCCTTCCAAGCGTTTCATCTCGATCTCGACTTCGAGAAGAACACTCTCTTCGTCGGAAGGAAAGTACGCAACGCAAAAGTCAGGTCCGCTGGCAACACCTACGGTCGTAACTTCGAGACCGCCCTCACAGACACCGAGATTAACGGCGCAAAAAGCCACCATCGCTTCATCAAATACAAGCTTGGTAGTCTCACCATAGTCGTACGCCATGAGGCCGACGCATACGACCCCACGATCGAGTCGCCGCAAGACCCCGATGCACCACCGAGTACTCTTCCTACCTTTGTCCCTGGTGAGCGTGACGCTGAGACCATCCAGCATAGAGGCCCACAGAAGACGACTGTCCTTGTCCAGGGTAAGGCGGTGCCTCAATCCCAGATCCTGGAGCTGAAGAGCAATGCAAGTTCGCGACCAATCGATCAGATGTGGTTTGGCAGAACCCCTACTTGCTGCCTCGGCGGGAAGCATAACGCGCACTTTGACGGAACATACAGACAAAAGGACATTCGGATAAAGGAAGTCACCCAAGCTGGGAGCAAGTCAGACAGCTTCAAGGGGTTCGAGAAGTGGGAGAAGGGCAACCAAGAGGCGTTGCAAAAGGTTGTGACACTACTCCAGCTGTTGCGGAAGACCGTCGGGGAGGATACTGAGCATCAGTCTGCGGTGCTTGTAGCGATGGGCAGTGATGATATCAAGGTGTATGAGACGAAGGAGAGGATTGGCGCACTGCCTAAAGATATCGTGGAGCGCTTTTGGGATTAGAAAGGTCCTGGTTCACGTGGGCGATACCTTGATCGATGTAGCAGTGGTAGCTACTTCTCAAAGGACGATGGTATAACTAGGTAGAAAAAGACGGCTCGGTAGGCTTAGCTGCGTCGCAGATGTACAGACAATGAACTTCATTGTTCCCATTTTCATCATGATGTATCGCAAATCTGCCAGATTCTCTGTTAAACACAAGATGCTCAGACACTCGCTGAACAGTGAGCCACATGCCCGTGAAAAGCCCCATGTTTCGCGCCAACACCACATGGTGGAGCGTATACCAACGAAACACCCATATCTCGCATCAAAATTGACTAGTCAGATCGTGTCCATCAAATTGTCAGCATGTTGTACCTATCATCAAAGCCTCTTTGCGGCCGCTTCAGTGTTCCTTGCAAGCCATTTCCCTAACGCCGACGACTACCTTTGAGCCTCTTCTCCTTTCGCGAACGCCGATCTCGTCCATCCCCACGTTCAGTTCGCGAGTCCCGTGGCCTCGATCCAAAGTCCCGGTCTACACGGTCTGAATCTCGACTACGGCTCTGGCGGCTGGTTGTACCTTGTCTAGATGCGAGTGTGGTGTTTCCCTGCGACTGAACATAGGGATCAGTGACGGCAGGTCCCTGGATATGGTAGGTCGAACGTTCACGAGAGCTCTCATAACGATTGTCTTGCTTGGCCTCCCAGTTGTGGTCGTCGCGAGAATCTTGACGTGGCGATCTCACGCGTGTTGTGTACTCTGGGCGGTTGGACGGATGCCGATATGGGGAGGGAGACCGGCTTCGAGTATCATGGCGACGGTGCCTGTCAGTTGATGACGTATAATTCAATCGACCGTTATCTTTAAATGATAAGAGTTAGTACAGTTTACACATAGCCCGTCGCTGATGGCTTTCTGGTGGAGTATTTTGTTCATACCTTCAATGCTCTCCCGGCTTTGAGCAGCTCGAGTGTTGTGATGATCACCCTGAAGCTCGCGAGCGCGAATGGAAGCCTCGTGGACCTTCTGTTCAGCCTGCTCACGTAGTTTTGGGTATTGGGCATATACTGCGTCTACTGAGCGCTCACCTTGCTGTTTGGAGAAGATGTCTAGCCTCGCCCAATCGGGAATATTGATTTCGCCAATGATGCGAACTTTGTTTGTCAGACGTACTAGCACCAACTGGCCACCATGGATGTAAGCTTGAGGATCGATGGTACTATCGAACAACGATCCATAGACAGGCCGGTTTCCGGTGAGACTTGTTTCCTCGTAACTACCTCGTTCGAGTAATTTGAATAGCTTGTTGAGTTCAGATACTGACACCAAATTAGAGGGACCTTTCTTTTGGTACGTATAATGGCGTAGACAAGTCGCAGTTTCTGGTAAATTGTCATCGTCTTCGTGAGTTTTCATGACGGTCATGGGACGAAGCTTGTTAGACACCAGGCCTTCGTGTGTCGGTACACCACTTGCGGTTCGTGGATTGTATGCTTGTTGTGGGTCGGGTGCCAAGATGATGTCCCCAGGGCGAACGTTTCGACGATTTCGTGCAGACATTGGGGGGTTGACCTCCCACATGTAATCCTCCACCACGTAGGAACGTGGTTCCGTCTTCGTGGCTGCCCCATATGCAGCTTTCGTGTCGTTAGTCGTATACGCGAATGTATCGTTGTCGCTATATGTATTAACGAGATCACTGCGAATCAGACCAGCATCTTCGTCGTATGGCAGCCCGATATCTCCGCCTTCGTCGTCGTAGAAAAGTTGGTCGTTCGTCCATTTCGTGGAAGCCGCAGGCCGCGCGCCAGTAGCTCCGGTGGAATCCACGACGCCTACTGTTTTCCTTGCCGAATCGGGAATGTCGCGTGATGAACTGATCGATGGAGTTTCGTTCGGAGTCGACAGTGCCTCGCGATCTTGCTGCCGTGGCTGTGCGGGCTGCCGTAAGGCGTCGCGTTTGGGACTATCCGCGACATGCGAGATACCAGAACCAGCGGAGTCAGCCATAGCTCCTGACTGATGCGGTTCGTCTACGCCAACACGGACATCAGCATGTGAACAAAGCAACAGCCGCTTACAGCGAAGTGATCTACTTACCACTGAGCATCGCTCCGGAGACGCAGTGTCCGCGCCGAGAAGCTTCCGTTCGCAGTTTGCAATTGATCTTGGGCGTTGGTGCGTGCAGAGTCTATGAGTGGGTGCACGACCACTTACGACCCGAAAGGCTCGCTCCACGCTAGCGGACAGGCAGTGAAAGATCCAGCTAGCGTACGCGTGCAGGACGACATGAACTCGATGAGAAGACCCTGCTTAATATGTCAATTGATACGTAAGATTACATCGCGATATGGACCGAGGTCTCCATGGCAGACCACATATCTCGATGCACCCGTATTTCGTGGGGCATCTCTATTCACAGACTACCGTGAAAGCAGCCACTTCCTGAAGTCAACAGTTTAGTACATCATAGCCAAGCATCGTCATGACTGAACTTGTAACAATGGCTCTGTTAGTGGTCCCGGCTACGTGGACAATTTTGGAGAATTGAACAAAGGAACGGCCCTTTGTTCGTTCGGCAAGTCAAGTGTTGTCTGTAAATATGTTAGCAAGCCTCACCCCACTGTCATCTTGACACCTGCCCCTCGTAATAAGCCTTCAGGTGTCTGAAAAGATCGCCCCAGCCACTCAATCATTAAACACAGACGTTACGTTAGTCATGGCTAGGACCAGTTCGCGTCATGGCCGAAAAAAAAACTCAACCGCCGACTTCCATCCCGCCAGAAGGAGGGAAAAGGGCGATATATACAGGTCCAGACGCAATATGAACGTCTATAACATAACCAATCACTATTACAATAGTGACGAATCGCGGGTACGTCGCAACCCAACTGCTTCAACCCCACGGAGAGCAGGTCTCAGATATGGAGGCGATAGCAACACGAGTGTGAGTTCGAAAGCCAGAGGTAGCGAACCATCATCAAGCGCTGCTGGAAGACCCCAAACTGGTGACAACGCCTCACCACTTCAAGCTGAGGCAAGCCCCTGGCAGCTAAAAGGTGATTATGACCCAGAGAGACTCATTTCCAGTAGACCCGCCGCTATTATACCGATCAAAGAGGGGGAAGAATCGAAATTGGCTATCCGATTGTCACCTGAGCTTGCAACGTCGCTAGAACGCGCGCTTCAATTCGCTGAAATATGGCATAAGACCTACTTGGCAGGGCAGGAGCGACATGAGCGAGCCAAGATATTAGAGGTCGATCACACCGAAGCTGTGGCTAGAATCGAAAGGCGCCTTGCCAATTTGAGAAGGGAAGGACAAGTTGAAGATGAGGACCAGGCTGAGTACAGAGATTTGGAATCACATTGTCGACGCGCACTCGAGGCTCGGAATAGCGCCCAAGGAACGATTAGGCTAATAGAGGGTCAGTGGAGCGGTAATGATTTTGAAATGAAAGCTCGCTGGCTGGACGTAGAGAAGTTGTTCAAGCAAGTGTGGGCAGATGCACATATGCCTCTACGAAAGATAGCCCGAGCATTACCGAGGCAAAGAACCCGAAGCTTATCTCGCCAGAACCAGGATAATCGGGAGGAGATGGCAGGCCGAATAAGCCAACGGGAGGTTGGGAAAGAGAGGCCGGAACAGCGCAATGACCGGCCTAGTGCTCATCGAGCAGAAATAGAGACGCCCTTTGACAAGAGAAAACTTGTTGATCCGCGTAGTGAAGTTCTCAGTGCTCTAGCGAGACTTTCACGTCGTCATAAAGATCTTATCCGGGCCCGGGATCGATGCGAGAACTATTGCCATAATTACGATCGAGAAGGAGCCAGGTACCTCAAGGCCGTACAAAAGTCAAATGGTTCGAGGTCCTCCAACAGCATCAGGGAAGAGTTCAACAAGGGATTTCTCAGAGACGTGATACTTGACAAGAAAAGCTTGCAGGCCGCCAGAACCGACTACCTAGCTGCTCATGAGCAAGCTCGCAAACTCGGAATTCCCAAGAATTGCACTGACTTCGTAGAGTCTATCGATCTGCAGAGCTGTGATACCGGTATCATCATGGAGAAAGATGCTGTGAACCGCAGGGCCACCGGAGACGATCAACACAAGCTCGTCAGCCGTATAAGAGCTTGGCGTACGTTGACTACTGCGGATCCATTACCGCAGCAGGTTATTGTCGAAGACAGTCCGGATCGGTTGAGCTCGGCCAGTTCGGCAGGTCGTACGGAAAGTTCTGTAGACACTGATGCATCAAGAGACCTGTCGAAAGACGCCAACAAGAAGCTGAAGTCAGACTCGGGGCTCAACCCAGATTCGAGAGCCAGAGAAGACGATGGCCCAGAAGTCAATCTTTGGAAGCCCTCGGATGGTATCAAGTTTTCGCGACCACCAGAAAAGGTACCAGATGCGAACGATAACAAAGACACAGTCAAGCCCAATTCCCCTGTCAGAGTTTCGCCACGCGGAGGCAAGAAGTCGATTGCTTATTTCTTCAAAGCACGGCCGAAAACGTCCAAATCAGTTGTCGATTCTAGGAAGGCGGCCGATACTTCGAGTGCCGGTGAAGCAAGGTCTGGAGAGAAGAGGAAAAGTAGCTCCGAAGGATCGCCTTCCAGTAATAAACGGAGAAGGCCTGAAAGGCGGACCGCACCAGACTGAAGTGCCAGCATCCGCTGAGGATTTAGACTTCATGCAGGTAGGTGGGTGGAGACAAGTGGTTCATTGGTCTTCAGACCGTCGCGGTAGAGCAACGATCACGGGGCGTGCCATGTGTATAGATAGTGGCATGCTGGATCCATGTAGGTATCACGCATTGTAGACATGCCATTTGGAGATGAAATTGCGATAATTGTAGATGGAAAGAGGTGAGGCAGATGACGATGCATGGCGGGTGAATGACGCTTGACGCGATATTACGTAAGCGGGGTGGCCTTTGCTTCGGCATCGTCGCACGACCGTGCCTTCCCGATCTTCTTCCTCCTTAACCTACATCACGTGGAAGAAGCAGAAGTATCAACATGTTGTGAGGAATCTGCGTTGCATTACAATAATTACAGATCCAATTATCTCACTATGGACCAATCTTATCCGGCACATCTAAAGCTTTTACGCGTATCGTGCAGGCGGACAGCTCTTCCGCCATCGACCAACGCTACAGTCTCTTTGGACGAGATGCGCACACTACCCTCGACCTACCAGTCACTGTACTCACTCTCATCACTATAGCTATAGTAACTTCCGTAACTTCCATATCCGTCGTCATCATCGTAGCGCGCACCAGCCCGGCTGTCACGTGCAGGCGTGTTGCGACGGCCACGACTCTCGTTATACCTTCCATCGTAACCATCATATTGGCGATCATCACCCCGATAATATCGATCGTCTCGGCCGCCTGTTGGCGAACGATAACCTGGGGTATTATCCTGACTATTTCCGTGGCCGTTGCGGTCCTCGTTCGCACCATCGTAGCCTTCCTCGCCGCCGCCGTTCACAGCAACCTGATAATCTTGAACATTCTCTTCATCTCGATACTTGCGATGGTCGTAATGAGCGATGTTCTGCTGCCCCGTACCGGTATTCAAGTGGATGTTGTTGTAGTCACCGCTGACGGCGATGTGACGGACGATTCCACCAAACTGCCTGGACCCATGTGAGCGGATTGGGACATCCGCGCCACCGTCGTTGAGTGGAACGGAAGTCTCTTCAGGGTAAGCAGGAGGCGGTGAAGCTTGTTCGGGCTCTTCACGTCTACTATTCAAGTCGGTAGCGCTGGGTAGCACGGTCGAACGTTTTGTTAGATGGACGCCGTTCGCAGCATCACGCATGCGCTGACCCTCTTCTGTGTACGACTGTAGCCCCGACTCTAACCAGTCGTTGATTTCGTCATGAGCTTCGTCTTGGGTTGGACGGGTCACTCGCATGGCAGCTGGGCCTCTTGGTGCGTCTTTTGGTATGTATGACGGCACTACGTATGCGTTCATGCGACTTAAGGCTTGAGCATCAGATTCTGACATTGTCACGTGTTCGAAATGATGCTGATGCGTGGCGAAAAGGGTGATGTTCAGGCTCAGTGGTGAGTTGTACCGCTTCGTGGCAGAGGGTGTAGAGTTGTAAAGGCTGCTTTGTGTTTAAGAAGAAGAGATGGAGGTCAGCGGTATTATGTGATGAGAGCAACTGGCACATTCACAGATGTCAGATGACTTAGTTTCACTTCTCTGGGCTGCTAGCGACCATGCGGAGGTCCGATGGCGTTCACTCCCATTCCAAATATCCAGACGGGACCATCTTTCTGGAGTCAGAAAGACAAACTCGGTTGCCAAGAGCGCTCTTCCGCCAGAGGCCAAATTCGCGTCCAGGTTGATCCATTCTTTTGATCCCCACTTATCGTCAAGCGCTTTGTACAGTAGTGACAATGACAAAGCATTCACGCAGTACCCACACAACCTTAACAATGAGCATTGTGCAAGCAGGGTGAACAGCTCCCTAGCATGGACCACATCATCAAGATACCCACACGCGTGCACTCTCGCATTCACTAACGGCATCCAACATACCTCCACCTCATATCACCCGAGCATCATAACCAAGATGCCCCAATGGACATGTGAAGTATGCCGCTGGCCCAACGAAGAGAACGCTGAGTCGTGTACACAATGCGAAAGATCGACACGTGACGGTAATCCGGGTATGACAGAGGGTGAGTCTAGCTCAGAGGAGGAGCAGCCTGAAACTCCAGAGAAGGATGAGGTGCCGCAAGAATATGAGCTGCCGGATGAGGAAGGTGAGGAGGTGGGGGAGGATGAGGGAGAAGATGAGAATGGAGAAGGAGGCTCATGAAGAAGAAGACGGTAAAATCAAGTTGAACAGCAAGAATAACATTCATTGGCAATGCGGTCATAGGTATCATCATCTGCCCATCAACACTCCACAGCCACAACTCTGCCAGCATTCTACAACAACGCCCAAGCCAAGACCGCAGCAACCATCCCACTTCCAACAACAGGACTAAGCCTACCCGCCGCACCAGTCGGCGCAGGCGACGCCGCCGCATCCCCACCTTCTTCCGTCGCAGAACCCACATTCGCAATCGCCACACCACTAACATCCGTCCCATTCTGGCACTGATCATCCGACAGCAACTCCGCCGTAGCGTTGAACATGATATCCGCGCACTGTCACCTGTTAGCTTCGACCCTCCCATCCAAAACCACCTAGGCTCGGAGAACTCACATTATACAAAGCACTCCCACTATGCCCCAACTGAATAACCTGCACGGTAGCCATCAACCCATTAATCCGCTCATCATCCAGCCCACTATACCCCGCCGCCTTAAACCCTTCTTCTAGATTCGCTTTCCCGGTTTCCTTCATGCAGAACAGGCCGGCGCCGGTTTGGTTGAACATTTCCAAGAGGGTGATGTTGAAGTTTGTGGCGTTGCTGCCGAGGGCTAGGTTCACGGAGGTGAGGGCTGAGGTGTGCGATCCGTTTATGATTGTGGCGCCGCCGGTGGGGGGCCAGAGAGTGCCTGTTAAAAAGGTTAGAAGGGGGGGTTGGGATGAGTAGGGGCGTATTTGGGGGCTTTGGAGTTTGTTGGGAATGAGAAGGGAGGAATGGGATGCCGTACGGTTCGCCATGTCCGTTGTTTCATTCACATTGGCGCAGGGATAGATCCATTGGCTAGCTGGTTCCTCAAAGGAGCTACCGCGCCATGTGGGTGCGAGGAGACGGAAGTGAGCGTTTGCGCCCGCGGCGAAGGCGGCGACTGTGAGGAGGGTGGTTGACAACATGGTCGCTGTAACAACAAGAAGTTGATGCTACAAGTAGGTTCAGTCGTAGGAGTAGGGAGGGACGAGGAGATGCGAAAGCAGAAAGATGTAGAATGTGAAAGGAATCCGTTCTCTCAACCAGCGTACAGCATCTGACATGCAGCCGCCAAACCCTTTATACCCACCCCAACTCCCAGTACACCTTCCTCTGCGAGTCTCCGCATGCAATTCTACCCACATGCCTGTCGTGCTAGCGGAAATCAGATGCCTCTGTTCCGCTGCCAAGCAAGCACGAAGAAGCCTTTCCTCGCCTAACCGCGACCACGGCATTGGGAAAGACGTAAGACCCAATCAAACGTGATAATTTTGGTCGAGGAGTCTGGAACCGGTGTGCACCCATCCACTCATGGTTGTAGCGAACATGTTGTGGCGCGAGCTATAGCTGCGACCCTGCATACGGACCCCAGGATAATGTGCTCAAGTGAGCAAGTTTATGTCTTGGCGGGGTTGGACGGCTTCGCGAACATGTCAAGCTGAACGGAAAGTGGAGGGGAGATGATGGCACGCCTCTCATGGCTGAACTTTGGGGTCAATGTAGTTGATGTAAGATTTAAGAAGCGGGAAGCTGATGTTGGACGTTGAGTGTAGTGGTTCCAGAGCTTCCCAGGTGGATGTAGAAGTCGCGGGAACGCTAGCACGAATGAGGTAAAGACCGAATCGTTGCATGGCATCTAGGTACCGCAGATCAACACGACCACGCACAAGCAACAAGAAGCTTGATATAAACATGACTGTATTGCAAAGTCTGGTATCATAAAGACTCACTAATCAAAAACTCCATACCCAATGCCATACCCAATGCCCTGACCCAAGCGCCAAAGAACCATTCATCAAAACATACTACTTTTCTTCTTCTTGATCTTCTCAGCATTGCTCTCACTCTGTGTTCTCAAGCCCCAGAAGCTCTTCTTAGCCTTGGCAACCGGCTTGGGTAGTCCATTGCTGAAGAAGCTGCTCTGACTAGCAGCGGGCCGATGTTGTACAGGTGCTTGCAGGTATACACCTTGCGGTTGCTGCATGCGCGGGGGTTGTGCGGGAACGGGCGCAGGGCGGGGTGCGGGACTCGGTCGCTGGTTCTGCCATCCACCCTGTACGAGGGGTGAGGAGTGTCGCTGAGGCTGTGGAGATGGGCGCTGGAGAAGGTTGGACTGATCGCCAAACTGCTTCTTCAAACGTTCTGTCTCCTTGTCGATTTCAGCCTGCTTCCGGCGTCGCTCTTTCTCTTCTCGTTCCTTCTGCTTTCGCTCCTGCTCGAGGAACTGGAGCGTCTTGCGCTCTTGTTCCTCTTCCTGCCTGCGCCGAGCTTTTCGGTTTGCTTCTTCCTGTCGCTTCTGCTCGCGTGCCTCGGCCTCCACTTGTGCCTTCAGTCGCGCAGTCTCGGCGTCAAGCTCCCACTGCGCTCGTGGATCTAATCTCGGCCCCGGCTGCCGTTGTTGTGTTGGGCGCTGCGGTTGAGGCGGGCGCTGCTGTTGAAGAGGTCGCTGAGGCTGAACGGGTTGTGGAGGCTGGCTGGGACGAGTCTGGTTCGTAGCTAGCGGAGGAAGCGAAGAGCGCTTGGCGGCGTTGTTGTTGCTGGTATATGAAGGTGGAGGTACTTGTGCGTTCGCGCCAGCACCGCCAGCAGGCTGAAGGGCAACCTTCTCCGGTGGGTATTGCGACGATGAAGGGGTGTAGGCTGGCGGTGGAGGGGGCTGTGGTGTCATGACTGGTGCTGTGATGTTCGGGCCTTCGAGTGGCGATGAGCCCTTCCTCGCGCGCACTCCCGCGCTGTTCTTTCGGATGTTGGCGTTGATGTGGAACTGGTCGTTTAGATCGCTGAAAAACAGATCGCGTATTACAGCGGCCCCGATGAGCAAAGCTACCTCCAGCCCCTTGTAGTCCTCAATCTCGACGCGGTAGAGGTTGGACTCCATGATCGTAAGCTCCTTCAGGCCAGAGAACAGGGCAACGGCAATATCGGGCTCCTTGCTCTTCTTGACCTTCTTGCCGGTGGGATCGGTCGATTTGCCCGTCATGTAGCATGTCATGTCCTTGCCCAGCCTGCCCTCCTTCCGCCAGGCAAAGTTGACTTTGGGCGTGTTCGCATCGCTGCCGGGGTCCGCAAGGCTACGATCGAGGGTAGAGTTGCTCGGGGTCCTGAAGGTGACCTGGGGTATGCTGAACTCCCAGCTAACGGTGCTGCTCCACTTCGCTGTCGAGTGCTTAACGACAACGCGCGAGTCGGGGTTGTAGAGTTGAATAGCGAATTCGGTGGGGTAGATGGGCTGGGGCGGGGGCGGCACTCCGCCATTCCTGCGAATCTCCTCCTGGGACAATGTTGGGTGCGACCATCCCGGCTTCGCAAGCACTTCGCCGTATAGGACCTCGGGGTTGCGTGAGTCGAACAGGGCTACGGCGTATGTGTTCTTCGCATCGTTGGAGGCTGGGTCGACGTGGTGGAGGGCATATTGCGCCTCGGGCTCGGAGCCGTTCTGGGTGAAGTAGAAGGATTCGTGGTGCTTGAGTTTGTCGGTCGAGGCCTTGAGAAAGAAGGCTAGAGAGTGGTTAGTACCACTACCGCTATTGATATGGCGATTGGCCCGGATGGCTGGGCTGGGAACACGTACTGGGGAGGTTCTCGTCTAACATTGCGTCATGTTATACCCGTCTAGATACTGCGTGTGGTTTGTGATGCGACCAGGTGCCTGGAACGAACGATGAGCTGGCAGGTTAGTGGATGTGCGGCGGCGGCGTGGACATGTTATGGCTGGTCGACCGGATACGCGTCTCCCATGAGGCTGTACGCACATCCCTGCAACTGCGCCGGGAGCCGCTGCCCAATGACGCTGATCTGCCCCGCTTATCCGCTATTCTTGGTCAAGTCAGCCTCGCGCGAACCGTTCTTCGCGCATCCACGTGCTGCTCTCATTTTCACTTGTTCGTTCGTATATCGTACCTTTGACCATCCCACCTGCCATTGGACGTTCGTAAGAGTCGACCCTCTCTGTTCATGACGCCAAGTAGGCTTGTGGCATGTTGACGATGCTTGCGCAATGCACCGCAGCAACGTTTCACCACGGCCCGCAGCACAGCCGACCGAGCGATGACCGCAGCCCATCGACATTTCCAAGCTCAGCGCTATAACTAACGTCGCTTGCTAGTCGCCTTGCGATCGAGGCTTGTCAACGGTTCGCGAACTTGGCATCTTCGATTGTCCTGGAATTACGACACGCCTACGCGTCTTTTGGCCAAGCAGCATACGTGCATCTCGCAAGTCATGCTACATTGAGATCGATATCCACCCCGCAGAGATGGGGAAGCGATCCTCGGCACAATGGAAGCTTCAACCTTTGGATGGATGCACAAATTGTCAAAACTCAGACTCCGCTTACCAACGCAGAAGTGCTTTCCTCCGACCATTGACAGCTTGACGGCAACGGCTATCTATCTTGTCATCACTAATCACGGGAACTCTACGTGAGTGCCGAAGCAGGAACACGTACTCACCCAATACACAGTGTCTATCAAACACGAGGGTGAGAACAAAAACGAAGGCAGAAAAACAAAGCAATGGAGCACAAGCGCTTCACAACACCAGGACCGCCTAACCTCCTCTAACCCTCATCGGTTTCATCTGCCTTTCGCCACCGCGTCCGTTCAACACAGAGTACACATACCAGATCGTTCCCTGGCTGGTATGACCCACGCCATGCATAATTCATTCGCAAGACTTGAACCTCGGAGAGGTCTCGGAAGAGGCACATACTGGCGACTCCAGCCCTACAAAGTCTACGGGGTGGCTTTGTGATGAGGACTTTGATATCGAAAGAGCGATCTATTGACCGCTACAGCTTAGCCATTTCACCACCAATGCACCGTACTGGAGCGACTACTTGAGCATGGTCCTGTACCCATAATCGCGGATATGCTACGATAGGAGCTAGGACACTGCGCAGAAAAGTACACGTCTTGTTCTCTTTTCGCGGATATGGATGCCGATTTGGACGAGGAATTATTCACATAATGTCATCGAAACAATGTAACAATGGATGGGGTAAGGGTTCAGACACATTCTTATTTGGGAAACATGTATTCACTTTTGTTGATACGTCGAATTCACGAGGTGTTTGACGCACGCAATTTTCGACTTGGTTCCGCGCTAGCTGCTATCGTCCAGCTGGACCCTGATCCTACGTTTGCACCTTCCACCGACTTGCATTACCACATATTGCGACATCACTTGTCAACGTCCACAGACAACTATCCTCACGTGTCCGCGGTATCCAGATCACCAGTCATGACTGAACGAGCACCCGCCGCCGACGCACGCCTGCAGCAGGTTCTGGAACATGTCAACACCACTTCAGATATCGGCGCCGTCGCAGCCGAGACAACTTCCTGCAATACGCTTACCAGCGCAGCAACTCTACCAGGAAGCAGGGTTTCTATTGCTGCTACATCATCGATTAACCACGGCAAGTCTGGGTCGTCGGAACATAAGGCGGTCCCATCAACAGCCGAGGTGACTACTCAAGGACACGTCCTGTACCGCAGTGCTGGTATACAAACACTTCCACCAAGCAATGCCGATGGTTTCCGCAAGATTTACGATCGCGAGCCCACACACCAGGAGCTCGTCAGCAAAATTGGATCTGCTGCACTTGGTCGCTACAAGCCGGGACCATCAGCGCACGACGTCGTTCAGAGCGCACCATTCCCCGCTCCAGACGTTTCCGATAGGCGTGCAAACTATGTCACCTCATCGTTCCAGACCAAGGATATAGCGCAATGCAAGAAGGATCTTCTAAAATCAAAGGTCAAGGCATCGCTGTTAGTTAACAAACAGCGCGACGCAGCTCTGTCGGCAGGATACAAGGTCTGGTCGGAAACAAGAGACGACTACATCGTACACTCAAAGCAGCTCGACACCAGTGTTCAGTTTGATCACCAAGGCAACGCGGCCAACGCGAATGTTGATGGCCTTTCCCTACCCAACATCTACGGCGAAGAGATCGAGCCGCGCTCCACTATCACCCATCCCACGCAGTTCTCGAATAGCGGGACTCCAGAGACAGAGGCTGGGGTTGACGTAAAAGCAAGAGAGTACACCTTCAGCGCAGCTTCAAGTCTTACGCCGCCGCCAACGCCGCCCTCACTTAAACAACACGACGCCAATGCCAATGGGAGCACACCTCAGCGCATTCGTACTGTCGAAACTTGCATACCGAGTGAGAAGTCCGATCCACCGTCCATTGAAGATTACGGCTACGTTCAACTCATCCCCAAAGAAATCAAAAAGCAAGACGCGGACAGGGATAGTGGTCAGGAACAAAAGCAACAGAAGAGAAGGAGCTCGGAGACAAGCGAGCGGGACTCTACGGAGGGACAAAAAGAGGGGTCTGCCGTCATTGGAAGCAATGAGGGGACCGTGATGGTGTTTGGCGGCGAGAGATTTGCGGATGAGTACATTGTTTACGACGCCACAATGTCGAATGACACAGACTCAGTCACGTTATCTCGATCGCCTTCTAACATAAGCAAGAAGAGAAAGTCTGTCGACCAATGCGAGCCTGAAGTAATTACCAGACCGCTAAAGCGCTTCAAGTCGTCAGCCACTCACACCGATCCTCCCCCTGTCAGAACGGATACTAAGACAGGCCGTTTTGTACAAGACAAAGATGGCAGTGTCGCGCACAATGACGCGTCGACTGCCAGTATCGAATGCGCACAACGCAACGAAGCTCCTGGGGAGGCGAAACGACACTGTGGTCGGTCTATCTCTCCAAGTCGACCCCGCGAAGGCCAACATCACTTCGAGGATGATCGCCCCTCCCGCAGTTCACGAAGAGATCGGGAGCCCAGACGGCGAAGCCGATCTCCAGTTGCCGAACGCGATGAAAATGATTTTAGAGCAAGAAGCAGCGCCAGACAACCGTCTGAGAGCTCATGCAAAGAGAGGCGCCGACTCCACATGACAGAGTCGCAGCCGCGCCAGGCAGGCCCAACAGTTGGTCTTGCTAAGATTGACGCAACAAATCAGAAAGAAACGGAGAAGCAAGCACAACGCTCAAGTGACTCGGACGAGACAGTCCTTGCACGTAAGAAGGAAGACGACAGGCGAATGGAGCGAGCGAAGCAGATTACCGACGAAAAGCGAGAGAAGCATCGTCAACAGGAAGAAGCCGAGATACAGCGGGCGGAGCAGATCACCAGCGAAAAGGTGGCAAAGCGTCGTCAGCAGGAAGAAGCTGAGATGCAGCGAGCGCGTGAAGCAAAAAACGAACGGAGATTGGAGATCGAAGAGAAGAAGCGAGCTCAAGAAGAAGAGTCTCGTCGCCGAGAAGAGGAGAAGGACAGGCAACGCCGCCGCCGCCGTCGCGGAGACTCACAAGAGAGGAGTAGCAGCACACATCCGACGAAGGTACGCAAGCCAGTTGAGCCAGCCAAGCCGGTCGATGAGTATACACAAGCACGCGAGCTCGAAGCACGGCGACGGGAACAAGTGTTTGCCGCGCGATCTGTCGGCGAGAATGCTATCCAGGCACACGAACAACCAGCCGCTGCGAAAGAGAATCCCAGTAGATTGAAAGCAGAGCCAAAGAATCCAGAGAAAAAGATGGAAGATGACAAAGTGACGAAAGCGAGAGCGAAGCCGAAGGCGAGTCGGAGTGCTCGTGAAGAGATTGAGCGTTACGATCCGAGGAAGAGGTTTGGTCATGCTGGGTAGGGGTTAGTATCGGTATGAGGTAGGTATAGAGGTAAGTATAGTGCGGTAGTATGTGGATGGTGTCTGGGAGAAGGGCTCAAGGGCGAGTCTCTGTCATTGGATTGATGGGGGTGTGGAGGTAGATAGATAGTCTTCTGATAGTATAAACATATCAATATTCCAAACGCTTAGTGGAAATAAGTTGGTTGCATATCATATGGATCGCAAAATCAGGCTTTGAAGAGGTACTTCCACAACGCCCTCCCTACTCCAGCTCTTCTCAACAAGTGTTGTATATGTTCTAAGACATAGTATTCGTTGTGCACAATGTGTAGCGCTCCATCAATTGTTGATTCAGTGACAAGGCGTGTGCTCGCAATATCGGCCAGCTTGTCCATGAACTCTGGCTCCCCTTTCACCTCCATTCACTTCGAATTTTGCGACCTTTCGCTGCCGCTGGTCACGCAGCATTGAGGAAGCTAAGGACCCACACTAGCGATCCTCAGTCACCTCCGCGTTCCCATCTCGCGATAGCCCCAGCTGGACAGACTTGCTGTCTTCTACTCACAAGCACGATCGTTTCTATACCAGATCTCTCGCGAACACTCATCATACCGCCCAATCTCTGCCACCGTCATTGACAAGCAAGATACCTCCATCAACACTACCGCCGATATGGCCGATAAGTGCAGCCCCAACGACCGCACCCTCAACTCCCGCGTCTCCAAGACACACATCACCTACCTGTCTGTTCATACCCATCGCGAGCCACATCCAGCTGTCCGAACGACGAAGAAGCGCGATAAGACACCTCGCCGAATAGACGTCCACCCCCCTCCCCTTACCAGCTCAAGCTCGATGCACAAACACTTCGACATTCGCTTCGCGCGACATAAGTCCACCTGGCGGTCCATAGCACACGGCTTTGTGGAGCAGCAACAAGAAAAGTTGAGGGATGCGGAAGAGGATGAGATGGAGTGCGAATACGATACTATGGACCAACTGGCCGCGTTTGAGGCGAGCGGTGGGGTGTTTGGTAGTCCGCCTGCCTCTGCCGCGTCGTCGCCCTCGTCGTCTCCAAGTAGTGATACTACTGGAAGTTTGGCTGGGTCTTGGAGCACCGCGTCGTCCTTCAGTGCGAGTACGCTCGCCAGTTCACTGGCATCACAGCCCAGCGTGGCGGCATTCAATGCTGCTACAAGCAGCTCAAGCGCAGACAACAGCGGAATGTCCTCGCCAGAGGTCGACATGATCGATGCTTCCGACGAGTATGAAAGCCATGTCGCCGCCGCGCCCACAGTTGTCACAACTCCCACACCCGCACCACCACCCTCGCAGCCGCCACATCCCGTGACCACGGCCCCCATCGCCGCGGTCAACCCACCCCTCTTCTCAGGCTTAGGCTACCTACCATCCAAACCCCTACCAACCGAAAAGGCGACAATAATAGCCAAACTCCCTTCCAAACCGCGCTTAAAAACACCCTCTCCCTCTCTACCCCCCAAATCCGCATCTAAACCCGACGTCGAACTAGGCATGGGCTCCTTCTCCGCCTCAAAAATCACCAATTCCGCCGCCCTCGTCTCCGCGTTCTGTAACCCACATTTCAAGCAGTTCTTCTCGGATGAGATGAAAGCGCTACAAACCTGCTTACTGAAGAAACAAAAGGGAATTTGTGGATCTGATCTGGTTTATCTTAATAGGTCGCTAAAGTGGGTCATCGATGCCGCGGAGGCAAAGTGGTTTCATCCAGACATTGACTTTGAGAGCGATGATGTGGCGGATTGGAGGGGGAAGTTGAATGTTTTTATGGAGGTTTTGGGGGGTGAGGTGGTTGGGGTTGCGAAGGATACGAAGGAGAGGATTGAGAAGGTGTTTGGGTTGTTTGCTGATGAGGAGGGGGTTAATGAGGGGTTTGGAGAGGAGGCGGGATGAGGGTTGGGGACTATGATGGTGGGGGAGGTCTCTTGGAGATTAGCGATAGTGAACTGAGATGTATACAAGAGTATGATTTGCACTAGAGACGCTGTCAACAAGGGACCGAGGGGGATACGAGGCGGCCATGCGTTGCAAGTGACAGCTTGTGGAAAGCAACGTAGGCATGATGAGTAGTGATAAGCATGAAGAACAGGAAGCTTGACGAGATAGTAGCTGCCAGGTGGTAATCGAATCTTGCACCAGAAATGATACATCTAGATGTCTTCACGTCTATGCCTCTAGTCATACTCTTCCTTCTCCCCCTCAAGCAGTAGTTCATGTCCATTCCCTTCTTTTACGCCCTGTGCAAGCACCCATCCAGCTATAGCTACAGCAGCCATACACCACCAGGCCAGTCCGATCATTCCCATATTCAGCCCCCTGCCGAATACCCAGGAGAAGAGTATTGGCCCCACGGTCCGAGTAAGACTGGACACCGACTGGCCAATACCATGAACGGTACCCAAGACCGATGGATGCGGACTGACGTTGTTGATAAGTATAGCCGTACATGGCAGAGCGAAAGTGCGAGCGAGGACTTGTATGAACAAAGCACATGTAATAGCGATCCATATCCACGGACCGCTGACACCGTCGGGTGGGGACGTCCAGCTGGGAACCAGACTCAAGAACGGAGCTGTAGTGTACATCACTGGAAAGAGAGCGAGGAAGATGCGGTAACAACCAACGGTACCTAGACGATGCGCAACTCGTGGGTAAACGAAGAGTTGCAAGGGTATGCCGATGACACCGATGATGGCAAGTGCGATACCGATACGCGCTGGAGGCATGGCTAGACCGCCGGTAAAGAACAGGCCGTGAGGCGTGAAACCCGGGGGATATGGGTGACTACGGTCGAAGCGAGGCGTGGAAAGATGGATAGTCCAGAGACCGTTGAAGGTACCTACGTGCATAGCAAGAACGCCGTGCGCGCAGAGTGTTGTGACTAAGTTGCGAGTCCAGATACGACGGAAGGGTAGCTGCTGTCTGACGAAAATCCTCGGCTTGTCAAGACTAGCAGATGATGGTGCATGCACCGATGTTGGTGTGGGTTGTAGCTCAAAGTCATCCTCCGGTACAACGTTGTACCCATCTTCAGATGCGATGTTCTGTCGAAAGATCGTTCGACGTATCCATCGGCCAACGCGGAGACCTGGGTCGGGCCGGTGTTTGCAAAGTTCACCTGTCTCTTCAAGGAAGAAGAGAACAGCGAAAGATGACAAGCATAGGAACACGGCGCTCGTGAGATTGGGTAGGGCGTAAGGGTATCGCTTCATCCACTGTACGCCGTCTTTGCCACCGAAAGTGGAGTTGGGCCCAAATAGAGAAGGGTAGCTGGCAAAGGGGTCTGCGAGTACACCACCTGCTTGCTGTCAGTACGTTCTCTTATGTAGACCGCTCAATGATACTCACCCATTATAGGCCCGACCAAGACACCGACGTTGAAGATCATAGGTAAGATCAGGAAGGCTCTACTCTGGTACTTCTTTTCCTTGATGATCTCACTGATCATAGTCCTCATCACACCAACATTACCGTTCAGTATACCACCAAGACATCTAAAGGCTACTGCCATGGCGAAACTGCGTGAGAAGCCAAAGCCAATGATGCTAAGCATTGTGCCAAGCAGCCCAAGATATATCGTTCTCTTTCGGCCACCGTACTCTGCATCCGAGAAGCGTCCCCATAGCATGGCGGTCATGAACTGAGTCGCTGGGAACGCTGCGCCGATTATGCCAGCTTGGTACGAGATGGTCGACTCTGGGAGTGATGGATCGAAGGATTGGAGCTGGTAGTAGAGATATGCGCCCAGCGAGGTCTGAGTCAAAGGTTCGGAAAGACGAGCAAGCATCAGGACGAAGAGCTGGTCTTTGCGTGGTAATTCGCTCCATGATACTGGTTGGCTCGTAGGCTTGTCTTGTTCGACTTCGTCGAGATCAGAAGATGTGGTGTTCGCCTGGGTGTCGACATGCAGGTCACGCGACCATATTTTCTTTTTCTTGAGCTCATATCCATCGTCAGATGCTATTGCATTCGCGAGAACGCTTGATGGCAAAGATGTGACATCGTATCTTCCGCGGTCGAGTCTCATGAGAATGGAAGAGGTGCAGATGACGAGTCGCTCTGTAGCGAAGAAGATATTTTGGGAACGACGAAGAATGGGTACGCCATTATCGCTATCTCAGGACCGTTGTTAGCGCCCGGAGCCAGAAATGTGCCGTCCCAAAGATTAGTGGTGCCATCTGATTGGTGAAGAGATAATGGGTGGTGTGGGTGGTCGCCTGCCTGGAGATGTCGGAGTTTAATGTTGCGTCGCCACTTGGCGGGGTAATCCCGGCGGCTTAGGTAAGCGCATCGCAAAATCCTTGTCGCGCGAGGAAAGAACGAATTCGGCACCTGCATATAAACTGGAATGGACGCTATGGTACAAGCCCATGGCACACAACACCACATGCTCAGAAAAGATGCTTCTACGGTCTACGCCGCCGAAATCTGCCATTCTTGTTTGATCATGATCTTTTGCGACTCTTGACTAGCAATAGATGCACGCTCCGCTCGCTGACCTCTCATGCAGTCCATCCTTGAGGGTGGGAGGGTCGATTTTCTGGAGCTCTCCTGACCCCTTAAGCGGTCTAGTCTTGAGGGTGGGAGAGTATCCTCTTCGGAGTTCCCCTCGACTGTTGTGGTGGCATATGCATCCGACGGCGTCAGCTTCAGCGACGAGAATTTCGACTTCGATCGAGTACTCTTCGTCAGGGACTTGAGTTCATAACTGCCGCCTGACATCCCACTACCTCCGCCTGTTGTTCCCTCACGTAAGTATCCTAGGGATACTCCTTGTGTCATGAATCCTTGGGTGAACCCTTTGAGGAGTGGAGTTGTTGCGGATATGAGGTTGAAAGAAAGAAGAACGCTTTGCCAGGCGACGGTCGGGACGATGCGAATGGCTGATTCACGGCTCTCTACGAATTTGGCATATGCAAGGAAGTGCATAAGAGCAAAGACAACGTTTCTAAAAGGTGTAAGTGTCGTTGCCAGCTCGATCCGGGGTTCATACGTACGGTATCCTCGTAAAAAAGGCCATCACAACGATGAATTTACTTTTGATCGACATGAGAGACGAGTGGAAGCCTATTATCGGCAAGGCCATGATGGTTACCTCGGTGATCATGTCACCGACAGTAATTGCTTTGAGCCAGGGAATCTGACAAGTCAGTGTTTGTGCAGAAACATGTGTGGATCTGACAAGAGAACATTGACAGGGACGGCACCAGATATGAGGCACCACTCATGCGAGCTGCTACTGCCTTTCGAAGCAGACGGAGGTTAGACTTACTAAATCGACGCAATACTCGTCCCCAGGCTTCGGTATGACGGTATCAACTGAACACTCGGTCGTGGTTGCAATGGCTCCGATCAGGCCCAACACCACTACGACCACGCCGGTGCCAATCGCTAGTATGGAGACTTTGACGTTCCGCGCGAATACAGACCGGATGAGCATGAGGATAGAGACTTTCGAAAAAGCGAGTGCAATGTACAGCAGGATGCAACTCGTATAATAAAGCTGATAACATCCAAAGTGTCAGCGTATATCATCGTATTGGATGAAACGGAGGTAGAAAAGAGACCTTTGGCTGACCTCTTGTGTTTTAGATATCTCTGCATCTTCTAAGATGCTATACGACTTTCCGAGACCACTCTTCAGCGCTGAAAACAGGAAGGCCCACATGCTGAACGCCAAAAGCTGTGTTGACGTCAGCTTCGGGTCATACTGATAAAGGCAGTAAAAGCGGGGGGGTTCGCGACGCGTACATGTGCAACTACGACGACAAAGTCGTCCCAGGTATGCGCTCTCCATTTCGTGAACCCGAGACGAACTGCGAGTACCAGGATCGCATAAATCATGGAAAGAAGCGTGACGACCCAAAGCGTCGCGCCCCGATCGGTGGTTGTGATGCGGGCAAAGCGGTTGTCCGACGCCCTGGCCAGGAGCGAGGAACTGGATGAGTACGCCATCTGTCGCGTGAGGCCAAACCGACTGGCAAAAAGGCGTTATAAACGACTGCTATGTTGCGCACGACATGCAGTAATAAGGTTCTGGACACCGTTGGTTGTTGGAAACATGTCGGGCCTCAAAGAACAGATCTTACCGTGTCACTCATGTCCCTCCATCACACTCGCGAACGTGAGGCGCAAGAGTGATCCCGAATACTGGGTCGCTACCTTGGCTCCTGATAGCCGCTCGCCTCCGGGACTTTGCCTGCATTGGTCGCCAAGGGCTGGGATGCCGAGATGATGATACCCAGCATCCAATCCCGATCGATCTTTCCTCGTGCGCAACCGGCCGAGCCCTGACCGAACCGTGCCGTGCCTGTATATAGAGAGCAACAAGTATGCAGTACGGCCCTACTGTACATACATAAAACGAAGAGGTCGGAATTCCCGCAGCCCGCTCCCACCGGGTATTTGGGGCTGTACGGGAGAGGGCGAGTCTGTCGTAAGACTCTCGGTGCTTCTCGCGTCAGAGATTTACAGCGCGCAGTAGACAAGATCACGTTAATATGTATTTGGCTCGCTTCACTCGTGGAAGTATTTGTGAGTTGCATCGGCGTGGTCTGATTGTTAGCTCGCAATGCTGTCCTCGAGTCCTGACACGCGCGGCCAGCGGCCCGGGCTGACTCAAGCTTTTCCCTGCGCTAAAGGCCTGAAGTCTCCAGAAGCCCACCAGCCGTCCCGTCGGCGCCACTCACCCCACACCATCATTCAGAACAATCTTTCATTTCACATGTACCACTCCACCGTCCCCATCTTCGATCTTCGCATCGTATCTCTGGCTGCATTCCACGCATGGCAGTTTCACGAAGATGTTGCAGATCAACATGTCGCTGTGTCATCATGCTTGCAGTCGCCAAAGACGATGTTCTCATCCGGTTAAAGCTCCGACGCAGGAGAAA